TCTCCACAGACCATCTCTGTCAAAGAAAGAAGCAGTTCACTGACAACAATCCAAACCTATTTCCTTGTCACTTTGGGTTTTAACCTCTCTTTTCCTCTCCACAGACCATCTCTGTCAAAGAAAGAAGCAGTTCACTGACAACAATCCAAACCTATAATCTTCTATAAAACCTATCATTACAACTAAAGCTATAGCCTCAGTCCTTTGCAATATGTTGCCATTCATAAGTGCAATCTGTCGCCGGATATTGCGGATCTGACTTCCTGTTGACCCTCGTCATGTGACCGTAAGCAGGAAGTTAGTTGTGCTGATGAAAATGCAAGATTGGTTTGGTTCTTTTCGGGTCTTCATAGACTTTATGCTGCTGCTATTGTTCCTCTTGGTCATGATGGTTTGATTGAACAACGTCCACTAAACGCAGTATAATTACAGGATCCGCGCTGGTCAGTCGTGGCACAGATTCACTCATGCAGTGAGTTTACATAGGAGCAATGCTATTGTTTATTTTTGTGAATATAAAGGACACTTTGATGCTTTGGCTTGGATTGAAGTTAAGCGGATGTCATTTCAACTGCAGTCATTTTCCAGGTGGAAGTGGGATGAGATCTACCTCCTGTTTGCTCTATGGGTTATTTTTTTGTGTTTTGCAATTGAAACGTCTCCACCTCTGTGCATATATCTGATATGACAAAACTGTATGCGTCACTCTTGACCAGAGGATCATATAAAACATGGATATATGTGTTGTTAGGTGATTGATAAGGTGCTTAATAAATAGCAGAAGTAGTTGTTAGTTGATGCTAAAGTGGTATTGCCTAATTTTTGGGGCATAATTTATGATAATATGCACAAATAACATATACACCAATATTGGCTAAAAAAGAAAAGTCAATTTTAATTTGAACTATTGTGATGCTATATGGCACTGAATAAAGTACAAGTTGGACTGTATTTATCATTTCTGATTTCTCTTGATTTTCTGCAAAGGATAGATTTTTTTGTCAAAAGAGGTATTATTGTTTATTAAAATGCAATTTCACCAGCAAAATATAACATTGCAATTAGAACCATACAATTGTGAAATATTATTACAATTCAAAATAAGTGTTTTCTATTTGAATATATTTTTTAATAAAATGTATTCCTGTGATGGCAAAACTGAATTTCCAGCAGCAGCTACTACTCCAGTCTTCAGTATCACGTGATCCTTCAGAAATTGGTGCTCAAGAAGCATTTCTTTTTATTATCAATGTTGTAAACAGTTTTTGTTGCTTAATATATTTTTTGTGGAAACAGTGATGCATTTTTTTCTGGATGTTTTGATAAAAATACAGCACAGTACAAAACAGTACTTTAACAGAACAGTCTTTTCTGATCAAGCATCACTGCTTAATAAATATATAAATTTCTTTAAAAAATAATAATAATATCTTACAGACCCCAAACATTTAAAAAGTTGTAGTAACAATCAGCCCCACTTCCTGTGTGCTCTCTTGAAATGCTACAATATTTTGACATGTATTTTACCATTTAAATAGTCATTCACTGACTTTAAGTAATCCCCTGATCATTTCCCCTCATTAATGGTCTGTAGAGCATCTGTAGAGCATATCCGTACAGACTTCAGCACATCTGAACACACAAGTGAAGTGTTGTACTGTCCTGTAAGCGCTGGTGGTTTCCCGTCTCTTGTGGTCTGGTGCTCAGATCCAGCAGCATATGGACTGTGGAAGAAATCTGGCCTATCAAAGACTTTGTGATAAAGATCTCTGGAAGCTTCAGCTAGTAAACAGCACCATAAAAGTGGCTTTTGGGGTGGAGCGCAAGAGAGAAACTTGAAGAGGTGCCCATCACCAATGAAGCCGCAACTTCTACAACAGCACTCCCCCTCCTGTCTCACTCACTATTTACTGTTCACTGTTTGGCCTTCCCTTTCATTCCCGTTGCACACCAATTTTCAGTCCTAACACTACCGATTTAGAGGTGGGAATCCTTTCTGTAATATAGCGTGTGGAAAAGTGCCAGTCATTATGAGGAAGACATCCATGATGCCTGAACTAGGTGCAACAGCACTTACATAATGCCATGAAGAAACCTCAAGGCCTCTGTCTTTGGTATTGAGCTCTTCGCAGTCCTGAGCAGTTTCAGACTGACAGAAATATACTGGGAGCTTCATGAAGCCAGACTCAATCACGCCCCCTAGTGCTTGCCTGTAAAACACAAACACTTTTAGATTGCAGTTCTAATCAGGTGAAAAATGTGCATGGGATTTATTCATTTGCATATGGACTGGAGTAGCAACCTATGCTGAACTAACAAAAAGCTACAAGAACCGCTCACATTTTCTTCAGAAAATGTTCAAATCTAGCTGGATTAGTTTTGACACCGCTTTGAATTAAATTCTTTATCTAATTTGATTTTGTGGACTTAAAAGTAGATTTTTTTTTCTGTTCATCTGCTCAGTTTTAATTCTCTCCCTCAAAATTCTGAAATGTCACGCAAATTAAACGCAGAGCGAAAAATATTGGGCAGAAATTATAGTATTTGTGGAGTTTTATAGAAATCTCAGGAAGATTTTATATTTGAGGCCATCTTGCCATAATTAGAGGCTGTTATTGCATCCGCCCGCAAATAATACAGAGAACACTTTATTAATTCCTGTCTTTTTCCACTCATCTTTTCTCATTTAAAGAAGCAATTCAACCCTTTCATCATCATACACATGGGTTACATGCAGCATCATTATGATGGTGATTGAGATTTTGTAGCATTAAATTAGATTTAAAAAAGGAGAAGAAACTTCTACCTTTGGTCAAACGCCGAACTGTTTCTAGACGACTTCAAATGGAGATTTGAGTTGTTATGGATTGTTTAGGTCCACAGTATACATGAGTCCAAATAACATGGACACAAAAATCCCCATTATCATATTTCTTTCCATTATGCATTATTTATATTCCAATAAGCTTAACTTGTAAGGATGAAGGATGTACAATATAAAATATGAAAGTTAACTATGAGACATAAGTATTTATTTCTTGTCTGATATTAAATTACTAAAATTCCAAATTCAACATCTTGGTACTAAGCTTTCATCCTTACCAAAAAAATGCTTTGCATGAACATTTTAGTTACCTTCAGCTATTAGGCCCCTTTAGAGATCATTGCTGTTTCAGTCTCTGTCAATATCCAGAAGTCATACCTTCTGCATCTGCACTGAAAGACAAAAAATACATTAATATTTAAGACTTAGAGGAGCAGAGGCACTTTATAAATAGTATGTAAAACTCTTCATGTGAAAGTCACTATCCAATGGATAGTCATCTAACAGCTTGTCATGCTCAGCGAAGACCAAGTCTTTCAGATCTAAAATCAGTCTAATATGTGCCAGGAACAAACGAAACTCAGCCTGTCAAATTTGCATTATTTCTACAAATTTATGGAGAAGAATCATGCTCTTTTTTTGTAACTTATTCCATTTGTATCAACAGTCCTGGCCTGATGTACTTCCCTTACATTTGGGTTATCTCTGTTCGATGGTACAAGCAATTTCCTTGTTCAGTACTTCCACTGGAATCAATGACATGTTTGTTACTTCACATAATGCCTTATTCAAGCTGGATGAATGAAAATGAAAAGCAATACTGAGCTGGTGGCTTTTTAAACTGTGTTTTGCTTCAGATCGTGTTGCGTGTTCACAAATTCAAGGAACAATATAGACTTAGCAATGCATTTAATGTATATATTCAGCAAGGACACATTAAATTGATCAAAAGTGACAGTAAAGACATTCATACTGTTACAAAATATTTCTATAAATGTATCAAGGTTGATATGAAGCATTACAACTGTTCTCAACATTAATAATAACAAAAATGTTTATATATTCAACAAGGATGCATTAAATTTATTAAAAGTGACAGAAAAGACATTTATACTCTTACAAAAGATTTCTACAAATGTATCAAGGTTTCAATATGAAGCAGCAGAACTATTTTCAACATTAATGATAACAAAAATGATTATTGAGCAGCAAATCAGCATAGACTGATTTCTGAAGGATCATGTGACACTGAAGACTGGGGTAATGATGCTAAAAATTCACCCTCTAAAAAATGCTGGGTTGTTTCAACCCAACTTTGGGTCAAATATGGACTAACCCAGCAGTTGGGTTAAACTTTTAAATTAAAATTTGAGCCCAAAAGTTGGGTTAGTCCATATTTGACCCAAATTTGGATTGAAACAACCCAGCATTTTTTAGAGTGCAGCTTTGCCATCACACATATATTATATAAATAATATAGAAAACAGTTATTTTGAATTGCAATAATATTTCACAATATTACTGTTTTTACTGTATTTTTGATCAAATAAATACAGTCTTGGTGAGTCTTGATGACCCAAAACCCAAATTTACATACATTTACTTAAAGTTAATTTGGAATGTTTTTTATTCAAAACTAATCCTTTTTTCCACTATTAGCACAATAAAAACGAGGATTTTGAGTATTCAGTTGTGAACTATTGCACCAGTCCTATCCTCTCATGTGCAAATTACAATGACATCTCCTGTCATCACAGCATGCACAGCGGATGCTCTTGATTAAAAGCATATGATTAGTTTTTTCAGTCGTTTTCAATTTCCTGTGAATTAAGTTCAGACTAAAATATGTAAAATAAATGTGTCACATTCACACATACATACATATAAGTACATATTCAGAAAGCATGACAGAAAGTTCAAAGTCAATTATGAACTTTTCAGCAGCAAGTCAATGGAATATGAATCGAATAGTTCTGTAAGAAATCCACACAAACTTATTTTCAGGAATTCTTTCTGAATTAGAAGAAATTTCAGTGGAAAACTCTTGAATCTCCATCTTTAAAGATGTTGTGCATGAAGATGAGGGGGAGTGAGAGTTACAGGAACACAGACGTGTTGAGGTTTCAGGTGACCCATACAGAAATAGAGTTGTTTATTTCAGTCGGCAGCTCCGGATTTCTGGTTTGCACGTGTAAATTACATGTCGCCAACATTAAATATTAAACCTAATCAGTGCTTAATTATTGATGCCATTGCTTTTTATACAGGAGTGCCATTGGTACTTGAGACATCCAGCAAAGAGGCTTTCTGCATTACTGTATCTTTGAGGTTAAGGTCTCTGGCCACGATTCCCACTCACTTCTCTTTGGTTTTCTTGATTGATGAACACAGGAAGTCTGTAAAAGAGAGAGAAGGAATGGAGAACTAGATCAGGTTGGGCAGTTACGACTGCTCAGAGGAGCTCACAGGACGACTAAGTGCCTGAGTAAACCACAACTTAGTGTTTGATGAGCATGTGTGTGTTTGCAGAGAGTTCACTCTGGACCTGAGCATCTGTAACGATCGCACAGGAGTGGTTGGTGATGGAGAAGATGGTTACCCACAATGCTCTGCAGTGGCTCAGGTGGAGATGTCTACACTGTGTCCCTGCCTGGATCAAGACAATGCTTGATGTTAATCAATAAACTCAAACATTAGCGAGGCAAAAAGTACATTTTTTCAATGTACTTTTCTAAACAACTTGAATTACAGTTTTTGCATTGTAGACCTTACAATGGGATGAAACAAATCCCAGACTTACATTAAAGGAGGGACCAGAGACATATCTAAAGACCAGAGTGAGTTTGCAATGCATTCAGTCAGAGAAAACATCCACTACAGCCGATTAATCATTACTCACATCTAAGGGATTGCTAGAAATATACACAAAGTGACTGACTGGGTGGAAATTAGTGCAATAGTCAATACAAACAGGCTTCAATGACAGGAAATGGTTGTTTAAAAACTAATAGGAAGTTACTTTGATCAATCAGATGTAATCAAACGTGGTATCAATCAGGAATATGTCCAAATACAAAAGTAAAATGCACTGTGAACATTTTACACTGACTTTTAAAGACCCTGAAAAGTCTTCATGATAACTTGAACGTCAAAACAAAACAGGCAACTACTGTCTTAATAATTATGCTAAGTAACACTACTTTTTGTCAATTTGTTCATTCACTAAAGGCAAAATGCCACATTCAGTCGATAAATCTGCAACTGCAGATTTCTTGTTCTGCTAATTTTAGTAACATTTAGCAACAATACGTTTATCATTTTGGCATATATATATATATAGCTTTATATGACAGTTAATATGTGAAATGAACTCTACTAGCTTTACTGAACAAAATTATAAATGCAACACTTTTGTTTTTGCCCCCATTTTTCATGAGCTGAAGGACTGGTTTTCGGACCCCCCAATACAGTAAAACTGCATTTAGTTTTACAGTAAACATTTTAGAGTGGCCTTTTATTGTGGTCAGCCTAAGGCACACCTGTGCAATAATCATGCTGTCTAATCAGCATCTTGATATGCCACACCTGTGAGGTGGATGGCTTATCTCGGCAAAGGAGAAGTGCTAAACAAAAGTGTTGCGTTTATAATTTTGTTCAGTATATATAGTTTTAAAGGATTGTAGACCTTGACACCTAAACACACTTGACACGCAAACCTCAAAAACGGTGAAAATCAACAAATGTAAAAAGATGTACGGTCAAATGTAATGGTCTGACATTAATTCTCTTAGCCAGCGTTGCAATATTTGCCAATACCTCACAACATATTCTGATACAATTATGATTCGATTAGATTCAGGGGCCTGTGATTGATACATCAATATTACAATATTATGGGCCTATTTTACACAACCACTTACATTTTTATTAACTCACAAATGCAACCAAATATAAATTGAACTCTCTGAAAATTGCAAATCCTGACATTCACAACAAAAAAATTAACTTTAGTTTTTTTGTAAATATAGAAAAATAAACCAATGAAAAAGCAATGACAAGAGTCAAGTAAGTCTAAAAAACTAGTATCCACATACACAACAAAAATGGGGGGGGGGATATTTAGTTCACATTTCTTTGTTTATGTGACTCAAAAGGTCCAATAAACTGGAAAATATGTAGTTGATATTTTACAGTGAAAGTCATACACTCCTCTGTCTTATTTTATGAAAGGCTCTCTTCATTTTACATCGTAAGACCTGGTGTGACCTAAAAAGACCTATAAAAAACACTGTATTTTCACATCTCTTTTATCTTTAATGTTTGTGGTCACTCTGATACAAATCTCAGAAAACATTTACATATCGCCATTTTTTCATTCTTGCCACAGCTTAAAAGAAAAAAGAAAAAAGTCAGAAACTTGTCCACATCCCTGTTTAGACTGTCGCCTGTTTCTGTGAGGGGAAAAAATAAAGCAAGAAATTTAGGCCGAAAATATCTGAGGTTTCTGCAGGTTTCTGAAGCTGCTTAGTGTCTGAACCCCAACACACACAGACAGAGCTGCATCAGAGAGACTCAAATATTAACACAGTTTCAGTGTGTGTGTGTGTGTGTGTGTGTGAGTGAGAGAGAGAGAGAGAGAAAGAGAGAGAGAGAGAGAGAGCGGAGAGAGAGTGTGTGTGTGTGTGTGTGTGTGTGTGTGTGTGTGTGTGTGTCTCAACCCTACCAATTTAGAATCTGGTTATCTGTGTCCGTGTTGTGTGAATGTGTCAGTTTGTGTCTCACGTCCAGGCGGTGTGGACCACCCATACAGAGAATCTGAGTGGGCCACTATTCACTGCTACAGGCCAGTCTCACCACAGTGGCGCCCCCAAAACCAGTCCGGACACACGGCTCACTATATTTGTGTGTGTGTGTCTACACTGAGGCCTGAAAAATAACCATTCATGTCTTCCATTTTTAGAAAACAGAGAGTTTTTTCTCGGTCTTAGCTCTAAATCAAACCGTTTATGTTACACAAAGTGATTTTCAATTAAAAATTATCACTTCAGTTTTATCCTTCTAGATTTAGTCATGCATAGACAGACTTTTGGTTATCGGTTTAAAGTTTGGTCCAGCTTATCCTGGCCAAAAATCAGCGACTTAGACAGTAACCTATGTGGAAATGTCATATGACATATATTGCTCTATCTCAGGAGTAATATTGCCATAAATTCACATAGTAAAATTAGTATATGTTCATATGGTGGTGGTGGTGGTTGAGGAGAGACCCCTCCACATGATTGTAAAGTGCTTTGGGTGTACAACAATACACAATAAAGTGCTATATAAATGCATCATTAATTCATTCATTCATTCATATGTTAATAATATCTATATGATGTTTTTTATATATATGGTATTCTATGTAGCAACCATATATGTCAACATGTATTTCATTTATATATGCAACTTTATTAAAACAACATATTTACAAAAAATCTGTATGCTTATATGTTTTTGTAATGCATTTTTAAATACACGTCTATCTTTTATATTTACTTGTATCATTGGGTTTTAGGATGGATATACAGTGGGTACGGAAAGTATTCAGACCCCCTTAAATTTTTCACTCTTTGTTATATTGCAGCCATTTGCTAAAATCATTCAAGTTAATTTTTTTTCCTCATTAATGTACACACAGCACCCCATATTGACAGAAAAACACAGAATCGTTGACATTTTTGCAGATTTATTAAAAAAGAAAAACTGAAATATCACATGGTCCTAAGTATTCAGACCCTTTGCTCAGTATTTAGTAGAAGCACCCTTTTGATCTAATACAGCCATGAGTCTTTTTGGGAAAGATGCAACAAGTTTTTCACACCTGGATTTGGGGATCCTCTGCCATTCCTCCTTGCAGATCCTCTCCAGTTCTGTCAGGTTGGATGG